GCATCCCAACAAAGAAGTAGTCAGGCAAAAAACACCCGGAGGCCTGCATGGATGACCAATGAGCTCCTAGGCAAACTCAAATGCAAAAAGAAGCCTACAGAGGGTGGAAGCCAGGGCAAGTAGCCTGGGAGGAATACAGAGAAACTATCCAAGCAGCCAGAGATCAGGTTAGGAAAGCTCAAGCCCTGATAGAATTAAATCTGTCCAGGAACATCAAGGGCAACCAGAAAAGCTTTTGATAGGTACATCAGTGATAAAAGGAAGACTAGGGAAAATGTGGGTCCTCTCCAGAAGGAAACGTGAGACCTGATTACCTGGGATATGGAGAAGGCCGAGGTACTCAATGACTTTTTTGCCTCAGCCTTCACCAGCAAGTGCTCTAGCCACATTGCCCAGGTCACAGAAGGCAAAGGCAGGGACTGGGAGAATGAAGAACCACCCACTGTAGGAGAAGATCAGGTTCGAGACTGGCGCTGTTCAGCATCTTTGTCAGCGACATGGACAGTGGGATGGAGTACACCCTCAGCAAGTTTGCTGACAATGCCAAGCTGTGTGATGCGGTCGACATGCTGGAGGGAAGGGATGCCATTGAGAGGGACCTTGACAGACTTGAGAGGTGAGCCTGTGCGAACTGCGTGATGTTCAACAAGGCCAAGTGCAGGCTGGATGGAGAATGGATTGAGAGCAGCCCTGAGGAGAAGGACTTGGGGATGTTGGTGGACAAGAGGCTCAACATGAGCCGGCAATGTGCACTTGCAGCCCAGAAAGCCAACTGTATCCTGGGCTGCACATCAAAAGAAGCATGACCAGCAGGTCGCTGGAGGAGCTCTACTCTGCTCTTGTGAGACCCCACCTGGAGTACTGCGTCCAGCTCTGGGGTCCCCAGTACAAGAAGGACATGGAGCTGTTGGAGTGAGTCCAGAGGAGGGCCATGACGATGATCAGAGGGCTGGAGCATCTCTCCTATGAAGACAGGCTGAGAGAGTTGGGGTTGTTCAGCCTGGAGAAGAGAAAGCTCCGGGGAGACTTTACAGCAGCCTTCCAGTATCTGAAGGGGCCTACAGGAAAACTGGAGAGAGACTGGTTACAAGGGTATGGAGTGATAAGACAAGGGGTAATGGTTTTAAACTGAAAGAGGGTAGCTTTAGAGTAGATATTAGGAAAAAATTCTTTACTGTGAGGGTGGTGAGGCACTGGAACAGGATGCCCAGAGAAGCTTTGGATGCCCCCTCCCTGGAAGTGTTCAAGGCCAGGTTGGATGGGGCTGTGGGCAACCTGGTCCGGTGGAGGGTGTCTCTGTCCGTGGCAGGAGGGTTGGAACTAGATGATCTTTAAGGTCCCTTCCAACCCAAAGCATTCTATGATTCTATGAATGTATGAAATACATATATGTCATATTAGTCATACTTTGTAAAACAAGTTACTGTTAAAGCATGGAACAGAGATAATGCTTACATTTTATAGTGTGTAGTAAAAAGATGCGGTGGAGGGTGTCTCTGTCCGTGGCAGGAGGGTTGGAACTAGATGATCTTTAAGGTCCCTTCCAACCCAAAGCATTCTATGATTCTATGAATGTATGAAATACATATATGTCATATTAGTCATACTTTGTAAAACAAGTTACTGTTAAAGCATGGAACAGAGATAATGCTTACATTTTATAGTGTGTAGTAAAAAGATGGCTCCATCTTTTTGAATATCAGGTTAAAGGAGAGAAGCTTTCTCAAGGGAGGTCTTGGAAAACCACATGTGCTGAAGCAATGAAAGAAAAGCAACCTGCCATATCTGAAGCAGTTGATGAGCCCTATCAGATAAAATTAGAAGTGAAAGGCTGGCTGCAAGTCACTAATAACTCTTGTGAGTGCTATCTTGCTAGACTGACCTAAGAAGAAATGCCAGAATATAGAATGATGTGTAAGTCAGGGATGCATTTATGACTCCTGAAAGGGAAACGAGACAGTTACTGGAACAAAATAGGACCAGGAGAAAAATGGGTTTTGAGGAGAATAAATCCTGTGAAGAATGAAGGTTGTAATTCCAAACAGGAAGGCAGTTCAGTATTCAGACTGACTTCAAAAAATATAAAAAAATAAGAAATCGGATAAAAATTGAAATGGACAAAGGGAAGGACAGCGAGGACAGTAAGTTGAAATAGGTCGTGTCTTAATTTTTCTTTTACTTGGTGAAAGTGTGACATGCCCTGCCATTAGTTTCTCTAAGTACTACTCTGAGTTGTGTCATTTAATTCTTTCTGTGGTTCCAGAGCTCTATCAGCCAGCAACATACCAAGTATCAGAAGACGGCTCATTTGAAATTGTGGATGAGAAGAATGCAGATAAGGTAAAAAGTATATAAAGAACACAGCCAATACAGCAAAGATAATTTTGGACACTGCTGAGCCCTCAAACTGAGCACATTGATTGATATTTAGAAATCTTTCATTACTGGAAACAGAATGCCCAGATATTTCACTTGTATTTTACTATTCGCAAAAGATCCCCAACTTCCAGAAAAGATTTTTACTGCACACCTGAAACCATTGATGTCATAAACTGTCTGCCTTGCACCAAACTTAAACAGATGCTGTACAGGACTTTTAAATGAATCAACAGTAAAGGAACTGATTTCATTAAGGCTGAAATAGACTCTTCTGCATTCACTTTCTTTTGGCTCTGTACTCAGGGCTAGATTTTACTCTACAGGAGTATCACCCAGTGCAATAAAACGTATCTGTCTCAATGAATAAATTGTGTTTCCTTAGTAGTAGCAATATTTATTTGATTAAAATGTATAGATCTGGAGGCAACGAACAATAAGTCCGTAGCCTTTTGCATCTAATCTCTCTCCTTTCGCCTCTGTAATGTGTGACAAATGCTACAGCTGAACTCGGGGTACGGCTTTTTCTCTGTTTCTAGAGCAGTGCACATGTAATCTTGTGGGAGCATTCCTGTAACGCAGTACGGTGGAGTGCTGAGGTTTATAATTCTGTAGAGCACAGAAGAAATGAATGCAGGCAAGAGGGATTTCCCAGCAGGAAGGGGAGGCTTTAACTGCTGGGAATAAAATTAGACCAGAGAGCTTTAGAAGAAGAAAGGAATTTCTAAAAAGAGTGGTACAGATAAAATATTCATGTACTGAATGTAGGAGGAACAAGTGACTTAAGGGGCTGGAGGTGTTTTGAAAGTACGCCACGAGACTGAAATTTCATGGCTGACATTTAGTACCTTTTTCCTAATTAGAAATGCTTTACTGAAGGAGCAAATTTTTTGCATCCTTGACCTATTCCCAGTTGAGTGTGGAAATCTGTGTAGCTGTACATGTTTTGCTAGGCAAAATACATGTTTTGTAACCTAGTAAGTTTGGTTATCAGTTGTTTTTCTGGAAGCTTGCTGGAATTTTTTGCCAGGGTCAGTACCATATATGTACTCTTTTGCTTTTAGGTGCCCTGGATCCCCCTGGACCCATTGAACCCGAATCTGGAACAGTATCCAGAGTATGCTCAGGCAAAACCTTTGCAGTGTACAGTGAAAGCTGGTGAGATGTTATACCTTCCTTCTCTCTGGTTCCATCACGTTCAGCAATCTCATGGCTGTATAGCAGGTAAAATACAGTCTTTCCAGATATGTTTTTGAACTGTTGCGGGTGTGCAGCTAGAGCGAAACAGCTACAGCAAAGCATAACGGGGACCAAAGGTCCCTGTGAGATAATCTACCTCCCCTCAGGAGGAAATAGCTATCTCAGCAGATGCCACAGGGTCTTGCAGTCTCTTTTGCTAATATTTCATAGCATCGTTGAGAAGTAGTAGGGATGCAACAGAAGAAAGATCTTTCTAGTCATCAAGTCTGGAGAAGGATAGTTAATTCAGTGATCATGATCCAGCTTCTAACACAGAGCTAAGCAGTTTGTCTGCCTAGCCTGCTAACTGCAAATTGGTCATCTGCATACCTTTCACAAATAAAGTGTGTGTTGTGTGTGCAGTTATCACATCAGCTAAAAAGGATGTGGGAGAAGAAAAGGAAACTAGAAAGTGTATGAGTTTTAGGCTTGGATATAGACACAATGTGGAAGATACTGTGTTGTCATGTGAGCTGGAATCTGCTCCAACCTAGTCTCCTACCTTGCTAATAAGCCTATGCTTGTGTTACTGTTCCCCTGTGCTTATCAAAAGTCTTGTCATCTCTTTCTTTGTAGGATTTATCACCATCTCTCTCTATTTTTTATCCTTCCCGAAGAGAGTTCTAGAATTTCAAGCGTTGCCCATTTGGTGCAGGTGGAGGGCTGGGGGTGGTGCAAAGTATTATCATTATATCCTGTAAGTTTTGCAAGAGTTGAGGAAGAGTTTTTTGCTGTTCTTTACCTGGAATAATCCTGTCTGCCCAGAAAGAGTAAATAGAGTATTTTGAACAACATAATATTAGTATTTGTGCAACACTGCAAATATTGCAAGCCCCCCCCCCCTTTTTTTTTCTCAATATTTGATATTTGTGATACTGTGATAAAAAGACAAGCTACAAGAAAAGCAGTATTTTTGAATCTCTTTTCCCAGTACTGCTGCATCAGTCCTTAAAGATTTTTTGGAAAGAGTTGTTTCCAGTTGCAAGTCCCCGGCCACCCTCTTTTTCTCTGTCTAGCAGAAATGTTAAAGAAGTGATGAGTTTATTTGGCCTTTAGTCTGGTAACTGCACTACAGTCTGTATACACTTGAAAAATCAGTATTCTCTGGGTCTGGTCCAGTAAATGTCTGAAGAGAGAGTATATCCTCCTCCAAGAACTGTTGGTACAATATTATACTGCTTGGCTTATTTTTTCTAGGAGAGGTGTACTAAAAGGAAATGAGAAGCAGAATTAAAGTGCTATCTAATTGATGAATGTTTTGAAGTCATGGTGAATTTGCCATCCTTTACACACTCAGAGGAAGAGATATTCCTATCCAGATATTAAACTTTGCAGTGTATTTGGTATTTTTTTGTCTAAATAGAAGCATAGATTTTGTGTTCCTAAACATTTTGCCAGCTTCTGCTCCAAGGAATCCCCAGTATAGAGTCTGAAGAGGAGCTGGTTTGGGTTAAGACAGAGTTGCATTGGCAGCACTGTTAAAGAGCTCTCATGTTTGCTTACATTATTTTTGGCTGTAGTCAAAGATTTGCTCATTTCAAAGTTCAGTCAGTAATAAGAAAAAGCCTGTACTAGCTGAACTGTGGAAAACAGTCTATGAACATGTTTGTAAATCATTACAATCTAGCCTTAGAAATGTTTTTGCTTTTTCTTGTCTCCTCAGTGAATTATTGGTATGACATGGAATATGACCTTAAGTACAGCTATTATCAACTACTAGATTGCCTCACAAAAACCCTGAAAGTGTTATAGCAGAGATGGGAGACTTGAGCTTGTGATCTGTCTCTCTGATGTGATACAGTCATCAGCATCTGTGGCTGGAGTACAAACATGATTCAAGTGAAAAGAACTGATAACGTCTGATTCAACAACGTCTGACTCAACAACATCTGACTCAACAACGTCTGTCAAACAGATCATGGCTATTTTGCTTGATTACAGAGTCTAGATCAATTGGCCAGATTTTTTGGCTTGTAAGTAGAAGGTTTGATAATAGCATTTTTAGGTCTTTGCATGTTGCCTCAGTGACGGTGAGCAAAATAAAATTTGAAGGGAGGCAATCCAGGTTTTGGAAATCCCAAAGCAGAAGCCATGACAGTTCAGATCTAGAGATTGTTTTCGTAACAACCCAATCAGACAGGGAAGAATCTGTTCTGCCACCCACCTGTGTGTCAGTCCAACATGCGCATTCCGCTTAAGGCAAAAGTCCTGTCCAGTTGTAATTCACTAAGTTCAATGGCTGTGGTGTTTTGATGGTGAGAAATTACAACTTCTGCAATAAAAGGTCCGTTTAAAAGCTTATTTCTGTACTTCTTTTTCAAATGATGTGATGGGTGGAGGACATCTAGGAGGACATGCAAAAGTCCTCCTAGCATGCTGGCTATTTTCCATGTTAAGCTACATGTTTTTATTGCTGGTTTTTATTTCTTTCCACCATTGCATTTAAATGTAGCTGCATTCTCCTACAGCCTGAGTGGAGATTTTAGAGTTGCTTTGCCAGATCTACAGTCAATCTGCACATCACCTGTGGTCTCGTGGCATGACATGTGATTCTGCAGCTTGTAGGTTCATTGATTGCGTCATTCCTTTGCCATTAATTGCTGCCTAACAACATATGGTCAGATGAGTTGTGTGAACCAGGAGCCTATTTCTGCAGCCTTAATTCCCATTTGTATTTCCACAGAACAGGATAAGACTACTCGTGTCTGAGACCCACAGGGTAGGACTAGAAGGCTATTAAATAGGCAGACATTGCAAAAATGTAGCATTGTTGTTTATGAAAACCAAAAGTTGTGATTTATCATCAAATCTTCAAACAGTTCCTTAGAAACAGTAGCGATATGGGGGAAAAATTTATTTGCCATGTATTAATTAGGAAAATACAGATACCTTTTAGACAAGATTGATTACTGTGAAGAAAAAAGATCATTCTTTTACTTTGTCTGTTTCTTTTGTTTTTTAAGGAAACATAGTTAAAGCATAAAGCATCATTTTACCTTGTGGTGTTTGTCCAAAAATTGCTGAAAACTCAAGAGAGATTAAGGGCAGGCTTTGTTTCACAGCTAGATTACGAAGTCATGCTACTTCAGTCTTTCCAGTTTGTGTTCACTGTGCCTTGGCAAAGGCACCCAAGCCAGTTCTGCAGTTGAATCTGAACTTTCCCACAGTCAGGGGAAAAGTGATTTGAATATCTCTTTTTGTCACTTTGGTGTGTTTAATTTAGTCTCTGTAATCAAAAGTAAAACCGAACGCCAGGAACAAATGACAGCTTGTGTTTATGCAAGCGGACGGTGTTACTGTACCACCTCTGAGCAGAGTGTCTGGAGGGAGGCGTGCTCTGAACTACATCTCCCAGCAGCCCGTGCTTGCTTGCTGGAGGAAGCAGTCACGGTTGTTCCTCCTGGACTTTGGGCAGAGATTTGAAGCTTGCGAAGCGACAGGCTCCTTACTTTCCTCTTTCACCCAGCCTGTGTTTCGCCACAAAAAAGGGCAGCTCCTCTCCCCACCAGCAGAGCTGGGATGGCGGTACAGGTGACGGTCCTGCCTTCCCCCAGGTGTCTGTTCGATGACCCTGTGCAGGTCCGTGTGGCGGGTCTCCTGCCGAAGCCTGGTGGACGAGAGCGGGGAGCTTTTCCAAGCCCATGCTCACTACAGAGCTGGGAGCAGTGGAGAGCTTGACCTCAGCCGCTCCCCAGCGCTGGGGGGCAGCTATTTGGGAGTGGAGCCGATGGGGCTGCTGTGGTCTCTGAAGTCTAAAGCGCCCTATAAGCGGCTGGCAAAGAGGAATGTCCTGACCCCTTTCTGTGTGGACTTGGAAGTGTATGAAGGCCATGGGGACATGAGCCGCTTGCTGGGAAAATGCACCAATGAACGATGGTTTTTAGGAGAGGGGGTGAAGAGGATTTCGGTCAGAGAAGGTCATCTGAAGGCAACCCTCTTCCTCCCTCCTGGTGAGTTTTAATTCCGTTCTGGTTTTCCAGGAGTGACTTACACCATGTATTGTGCCCCATGGCCCATGGATGCACTTGGCAACATAGAGCAAAGCCTCAGCTAATGGTTGCCTCAGCCTTGCTTGGTCCAGCTACTTGGATCCCCATAGCAGAGCAAGGAGGAGCAGGCATTGCCCAGGCGGTCAAGCGCCGAGGCAGGGGGGTGCAGGGAGAGCGACAGTGGTGGTAACACGAGGCATGGCCTGTTTGCTCTAGTGGAGGGGGTTCAGGTCCTCTCTTGCAGTGAGAGCTCTGGGGGGAAGTGTTTATTTCTTAGCTCTTCTGTTTAGCTGACAGGACAAAGAGGCCCCTGGTCTTCGGCAGAGCTGTGAGGTGTGACGGCTCCAGCCGTGGAGCGAGGAATGATGAGGTGTGGTGGGACCATTGAACTTGGGTTACAGCCAGCCTAGGCTGCTCCAACAGCTGCCACGGATCTTCCTGCAGGCTCTGGACTTGTCTCTCTGTGTCCCTCTCTGGCTAAGAAAAAGCCAAAGAAAGAAGTCCCTGCCTGGTTGAGCACCTTGACTGCGTGGGATACTTAGGAAGATGGGAGCCAAATGAGAAAAGCAAGGTCTTTAATTAAACAGGTGTCATATTCCACAGCTCTGTACGGAGGCTGTGCCGAGATTGGATCCTGTGTAAAGCTGCTTTCAGCCCCAAACTGTGTATGTTCCTTGGGCAATACTTAAACATGAATGTTTTGCTCTGTAATGAATAAAAAGTGCCCTGCAGCTGCTGTGACACCAAATCTTGTAAGGGAAGTCTGCTGTAAGAATGGGCAGAGCAGCAGCAGGAAAAGGAATGTCCTGTGGCTGCAGGAGGAACACTGAGAAGCCCAGGGGTAGTTACCCAGATCAGACTGAAGCCTGAATTGGCGTAGGTCAGTGCTGGCATTTGTGGGTGCATTTCATAACTTGAGTATTCCCTCCCTGGAAAACCTGCTAGCACAGTTCCTTAAAGAAGCGCAGCTCATGCAGCAATACTGTTTGTTCATCAGTCCCCAATGGCCTGAGAACATCTAGGCCAATTTCAGCTGAAATTCATAGTCAGAGAAGGATGCCCAACAGATGAACTTCCTGCAGTGAGTTCCTAAGAGGGAGAAGAAATATCCAAATGGGTGTCCTCACAGTGATTGTGTGTGTGCCTGAGAATGAGAACCTCCATGGAAAGCTTCAAAGGATGATTTCCTTTTGATATCTACTGTCCTGATATGTGCTGGGGGCTGGGGGGTGGGGATACTACTGAAGCTGTAGAAACTTATCTCTTTGAGTGTGTGTGTATGTATATATACACACACCCCCACACACACCGCCCCTTTCATTGCAGGACCTGGTCCATTCCCTGGACTTATTGATTTGTATGGATCTGGAGGAGGTCTTGTTGAATACAGAGCAAGTCTTCTGGCTAGCAGAGGCTTCGTGACTCTGGCTCTTGCTTACATGGCCTTTGAAGATCTCCCTGCTATGCCAGAGGTTCTTGAACTGAGCTATTTTGAGGAAGCTGTAAACTTTTTACGGAAGCAGCAGCAGGTAAGAGACAAATTATGACGGTCATCCTGTTGGAAACTATTTTCCAATTTTCTCCATTCTGTATGTCACTGAATGCAACTATGTTTCTGAGATGTTAGAAGGAGACAGCATTGTCTGAAAGACAGCATGACCGAGAGATGGAAAAAAGCATGCGCCTCAACTCTAATTTTGCAAGTAGTTGGATAGCTGGTTTTGCACAGCATCTTATGACAGTCCATAGTGTGTTGTGCAAACCAGTGTTTGTGTAAGATTAAATCAAAACAGTTTCTGGACTAGAAGCATAACACTGCTTCATTTTTTCCCTACTTTTGCATCTGTCAAGATTTTAGAAACAAAAAAATTCCATTGACCTTTTTCTACTATTTCTGAAATGTTAAAGCCTTTTGATTCTGAGTAAGTTTCAGTAATAAAAACTGAAGACAGTTTTAGAGACAGTAATAAAACACTAACAACAGAATCCCTTACAGTTGTAGCTCTGGAAAGTGTGCCATGTCTTAAGAAACTGAGGCTGTACTTGAACAAGTATTTGGAGTGAAAAGGACAATTTATAGCAATATATCGTCATACTTAAAAGAGACCAAGAGAAATCAAGTAGCATTTAAACTTTTAATGGAATGCTACTTAACGTGGTATTCATTTCACAAAGTTATTTATGTTTTCGAGCATGTGGACACCAGAAATGTAGCCAGTGTGAGAGCAGAATACAGCCTTGCTTGTTTGTCTTGTTCCTCATAGAGCTCTAAAACTTCCAGAGTACCTTACAAGGCACACATTACAAAATGAATTTGGTGTGAAGAGCCTTCACTATAAATAAGTTGATTTAAACAGTTGTTTGGCTTACTCTGCCTCAGGTGTAATGAACCTTATGTGTTCCAAGACAAGGGAGAGAAGATCGAGAGTGTTTGGAGATAGGAGCAGTAAAAGATAAAATACTGAAAGCAAGTGTGGAGCCAGGATTTGGAGGGAGCAAAGAGGCGTTTGTATATAGAGGTCACCAGGAAGAAAAATTGTTACAGAAGGAGAAATGTTGAGGAGCTGTAGAATTCATAGTCATTCTTGTGGAGGCTCAGCGAAGGGATAGATATGGGAGTGATGTAACCTAAATAGAGAGGGAAGGATAAAATATGGGTGGTCTTATTTGGGTGAGGAGTGAGGAAGCAGAACTGGAGATGTTATGTCAGCCCAGGAAATGAGAAGTAGTTGATAATGGTTGTTTCTGTGTTTCAGGTGAAAG